CAACTCTCGAATATTTTCAATTGGGTGAATAACTCCTTATTCTGATCCATCACATGAATCATTCCCAATTCTTGCTTCTAAACATATATAATCTTATTATAATTTGTTTAGTTAAGTTTGACTCATTGTTTTAGCAATTGGATATTACAATTATCCCATCACACCTTACTAATATAGAACATGCACCTCGCGTAGGCGAAACCTACAATGCTCGATACTAGTCTTGATGAGTGCTAAAAATTGGAAAGCATAAACTTAATATTTAATTTTGAGGGAATTTGTTATTAGTTTGATCTCACCGGCTTAACATGCAAAACGTCTCTCACATGCGTCAACATACAATTACATGCATCAACATACATATAAAAAAAGATACAATTATGGCCCCTAACGCAATTGTTCTCTCAAGCCAATGAGAGAACCTAAGCTAACCTAATAACGATCTAAGCTTCTCCAAGCATGATCTCCAAGGTTATCCTCCTTTAATATTGAATACTTCCTCCTTTTTTTTTTCATAACATAATATTACATTACATATAGGAAAACTCGTTTTACATACGAGGGAGTGAGATGAGAAAAGAAGTTACATAAAGAGATTGAGAGAGAGGCACGACACGCAGGCCGTATTCAAAAATTCCAAAACAATAATAAAGGAAAAACTAAGGCCATAACTGATCACCACAAATAAATAATAATAAACACACTTTTATTATTAGTTTAAAATTCCAATAATTAAATAAACTAAATTAAATTTCGGCTGATTGATCACACTTTGCAGACTTAGCCGGGGGTTCCGCTGTCAAGACTTGTTGAATTTCGGCTGATTGATCACACTTTGAACACTTCATTGTATTTCACGTCGTTTCCTGCACAACTTTTGTGCATTTACAACCCCAACCGGAAAAGTTTGCGGCAATACAACACTTGTACTGCCATTAATCCTAATGCAACAATTTCATGCCGTCAAACACAACTCGATTGATAACTCAATATGATAGATCAACATGTCATTGCTTCACCATACTAACGTCGGATTCCGAAGCGAATGAAAATGATGATCTTTCAAAAAGAATTACAATCCTTATGTGATTGAATGGATGAAATCAAAACAGTATATCCCATATACCATCTTTGCATCAAAATTTCTTATATCTTATATAAAAGTGATCGATCTAATTGTGTAACCTATGGATGATCAATGTATCGCACAACTTCACCATACTAATGTCGGTTTCTGAAGCATAATCAACATCAATCATCCAAATCGTACACAACAGATGCCAAATTTAATTAATCGTTTATTGTTAAATTCATTCTGTGTTTTAATCGAATCAAATACAGAAAAGACGGAAATTTAACAGCTATCAGATCCATGGTTTCGTAAGTGGCTCTGATACCACTGATGGAAAATTGCGATCTAAACGCAGCGGAAAACAAAACAATTTCCTTTAGTGATCCTTACGAATGAGCATGGTCAGTGATAGAATCGTTACCTCTTTGTGGCGATTCAGATCTTTGATGCAGCGATCACAAGCGTTGATGAAGTGCAACGCCTCTACTCAGTCCACACGAACAGCTTCCGGTCACAGTGCTAGCTGCTTACGAACGGAATTATTTGAGTGAGAAAAGAGAATCAAAAAACAAAATTGCATCAAGTGAAAGCTTCATCACAAGGGTTCCTTTTATAGACTCTCTTGTGGGCTGCGGGCTAAAAACCCAATTCACATGATCCATAATAATATTATATATTATTATAATAACTATTATTATAATAAATATATTTATTTTATTATTATTTTATAACCATTATAAAATAACAATAATTATTATTATATTATCCGAATTTCTATTTTTCACTTAAGTGCACCGTACCTTACGGTGTTCCTTTGATTTCTCTATCTCTCATCAAACTGTCCTTATGTGTGTGACCCTGTAGGATTTCGTAACGTTGGTAATTATATTAAATTATATATTTAACATAATAAATAGTAAGCAGTATCTAGCAACACATCACTGCTACCCAAGTCACGAAAATGTCATGTGATCTGACAAAACCTTTTTCGTGATAATATATGTTTGTACAATTACCCTTTTTGCCCCTATGTCTATATTGAACACAAGGCATACACTGTGTCATCCTTGTCCAATTCAATATTGGGCCCTTAGACATTTCTCCTGTTATGCAGGATTGGCAAATTCCATCTAGGACACTCATGTCCCTCAGCATGCTTCGTGGAGTGCCCATCAACTGTCTTTATGATCATCCAGTTACGGATAATGTTTGATCAGCAATAAAGCACCCGACTCTACATCTAGGGTCCATAGTGGTTTCAGGTCGAAGGGTGGTAATACACCATTATCACCATGAGAATAACTTATGACACTTTGCATAACATACTATGTAGTATTCTCATAGCGGGTCAATCCGGTATAAATATTACTCCTAATATTTATACCTATGTCAAGACTTGATAACTCTTTATCCATGATCCATGAGATGTGATCATCAGTCTATCTTCATAATAGTCTCAATGCTTTTAATGTTATCCCACTTTGCAATAAAGCTTGACTACGGATATTTTAAGAATAATGTCTTTATGTTTAATGGGATCTCATGATTAAGTCACACTTAACATTTCATTAAACAGACTAACTATTCTAGGGACTTTATTATTCTGAAAGACAAACATAATAAAGAAATGTCTTTTATTATTAAACGAATAATCCGATACAAGTACCAAAAAGTATTGGCCTCTAGGGCTTACACCAACAAGTATCGCTCCACAGATCGCATGCACTAAGAGCATACCTACTTTATTTGGTTGACATTGTAATTTTTATAGACAAGAGGGCCACTTATACAGACGTCATCTACCTACGGTATTTCGTGGATTTCAAGTGGATCCATGAGTACAACTGGGGGGAAACTGTTTGGTCCAACTGTATTCGAAGTTATGAAAGGGTTGTATGTGGAAGACGTAGCAGATCACATGCAGCATCACACTACTAATTATTAGTCTTTGAATGTTTTTTTTTTCATTTTCATTTCATCTTTGCAAATTCATTATTGATGATTCATGTGTTCCAATCTTTTTATTTCAGGCTTGGATCCTCCAGCACTTTTTGCGCATCTCTGGTTAGGTGAATGTACCGTCTTACACTGAGGATATACCGCGTGCTACTGATTTTATACTGCTCAAAGGGAACCAGAAGACTGAGCCTTACAAAGTCTATCTTGAGCATTTGGTTACTGATGACATGCACTTCAACAACTATGTTGATTACCGTGAGACACAACCATTTAACGAGATAATTCTATACTTTGGATGGTTGGCCTGAGGTTCACGTCTCACTGCTCCTCATCTGCCCGAGCGCGTCATGCGACAGTTCGACTACACTCTGACAATTCCCAGATACCATGTTGTCTCTGCTCCTCCTACCTTAACATGTAGACATATAGACGGCATGTTTCATGATTATGAGAGTCATCTGGTACCAGAGGTGGCACAACTACCATAACTAAGAGCGAATGGAGCTACGCCGAAGAGTACATCAAATGGTTCTTTAGGGTGTCATACTCGTACATGGTGCATGCTGCTCCAAAAGATCTACCGAGACCAGCTCATCAGGAGATACTAGAGGAGGAGCAGACACAGCTAGATCATGTTGAGGATGTCTTGCCTACGTGTCGTCGCATAATGGAGATTGCGCAGGTAAGCATAGACACAAGTATCTTTCCTAATGGGTCTGATGTGAGGCAGGTTCTAAATGCTATCATAATGGAGGCATAAGGGGCATTGTTGTACTGGAGACATCACCGGAGGACAGGAGGATTGATGGTCGAGGAGGTAGACGGGGCATGGGAGGTAGAGGAGAGGTAGTCTAACATACACAATAGTGTCTTAGTATATAGTAGTAGTACTATGGTCTGCATTTTATTTTGACGATTTGGCTACTGTACTGATCTCGATTGTATGACATTTTTGACATTTATTAATATTTCATTTATGTATGGCATTTTTGGATCATCTAGAATTATGTACGTAGATATTTTTTTCCTATTGTATGGTATAGTTTAAATTTTCATCTGAATACAAATAAACAAAATATAACATGAAAGATCAAGTTTTAATACGTCACAGAAATGTATCTCTAGAATATTTACAAAGATGCATATCGATTGTTAGAAGATGTATCTCTAAAATATTTCAACATTCATTCAAATTTTAGTGCGACTAAATATACATCTCCAAAAACTAAAAACATTTAAATAATTTCATGTGGTAGGTAAAAAATATAAAGAGGCCATTAAAAAATCCACTAAACTAATATACCAAAATATGTAACACTTGTAAATTAAAGAAAATCAAATTTCTAATCCTTGTAATTTTAAGGGATCAAAGTGTATAATATGCTGTAATTTAAATTATCAAAATATGTGGTATATATAATTTTTGATTTTGTCCGGTTATTAATTTAAAAAAAAAATATTAATTATTATATTATACAGTCAATTTATCATAATCTTTTATAATTATTATTTTAAATATAAGTTAAAATAAAAATTAAATATAATTTAAAATCTGAAGGTCAGACAATATAAAATATTTTTTATATTTTTATTAAATTCATTTTTTAAATTGATTTAAATTTAAATCATAAAATTCAGATTTCCCTTTTTAACCTCGAGCGATGTTATGACTTATGTCCCTACCATAGTCAACAAGTCTCATAACATAGTCATTTCTTGCGTCTTCAAACTTGTTGAAATTTCTCATAGACGCCACCATGCCATCACCTTCGTTATTTCCTTCTTTCTTCTCTTCCTCAACTATAAATACAACCTACCATTCTTTTCGTATTTTCTCATCATTCATTATTTATTTTTCCAAAATTTCCAACATTAATTTCTCCATTATTTTCCCTATAAATCAATCCTCACCCCTTTGAAAATGAAGACCTTTCCACTTCTCAGTTTATTTTTCATTGCAATTTTTCAAATGGTTCATGCTCAAAATTTTGATATTTCTCCAGCACATACTCCTACAAGTAATGGTAAGTTTATTTCATTCTTATTGATTTAGGAAGTTAGAAAACTCTTCATTTTTTTTAGTTTTGAAATTAATTATTATTATTTATTTATAACAGGCACTGCTCTGGATCAAGGAATTGCTTACCTTCTTATGATGGTGGCTTTGGTGATTACATACATATTTCATTGATTTTTTTATTATTTATTTTTCCTTTTAAATTTGTGTATTTTTCTCTTAATATTTGTTGAGGAGGTTCCACGATTATTTTGTATTATAACAAAAATAAAATTAATAAAATTTAAGAAATATTCTTTGAGTGCTTTGTTCTTCTTTTTCTTCTTTTATTTATTCTTTCTTCTTCTCCCTTTTCGCATGCTTTGTGGTGAATCCATGTTTCTTGACGCAGATTTGTTTGAGATAAGGTTTAAAATATGAAAGAACATTTTCAGTTGATGCCATGTTTTTGATTAAAATATCAAAGAAATTTGTAAAATAAAATAAACATTTCAGTTGTCACGCATTCCAACCTTTTTAACTTCTTTAATCTTTAATAAAATAATAATCAATTTATAGTGCTCTTATTGATACAAACCGGTCAAAGAGTACCAATTTGAAATATATATATATATATATATATATATATATATATATATATATATATATATATATATATATATATATATATATATATATATATATATATATATATATATATATATATATATATATATATATATATATATATATATATATATATATATATATATATATATATATATATATATATATATATATATATATATATATATATATATACTTTTTTATACATATATTTATGTATACTTTTTTTTTTATATTTTGACTTTTTATTTTATTTTATAAAATGCCAAACCTACAAACAAAATCAATAAAAATTACAACTGGGCCTTAGGTCCATTATAACTTTGGTCCGGGTTGTACCAAGCCACCTTGTATTTGAGATTATTTGAGACTTTTACCCTAGTTAATGCATGCATCATTTTGTTTTTCTCCCTTTTGATATGTTCAAACTACACTTTCTCAAACTCCGCTTTCATCTTCCACATCTCTCTACGGTGCATGCCCATTGCATTCCTAAGTATATTGTCTTCACAACCTTCCATGATGTTAATCAAAGTCTTGTTGTCTGATTGGAACTTGACCCTGATCCTTTTCTCTATTAGAGCATGATCCATGGCCACTTTCATCGCCATAGCCTCAATTGCGGTTGGATCTTTATCCCCTTGAACTCTAGTGGAGTGTTCTTATATGATATGACCACTTTCATTGCGTGTTGTCTCGCCCAACCCCCAGAATCCCTCTTCCATAAGACACACATTGATGTTAATCGTTATCCAATAGCGCCTTGGCTTCTCCCAGGTATTGCTGCAATCCTTTACCTTGTTAGTCTGATCCATATCTTGTCTCAGATTTATGTTGACTATATGGTGATTTTGATCTTCCAGGATAGTGCGCTTGTTGACCTTGCTAAACTCATTGTTGTAACATTTCGACTTCTTCTATTTTCCCTTATTGATGTTACCGAGCTAATTACTCTTTTGTTCCTTCTGCATCTGATTGTTGATATGCTTATTCTTGTTCTGATTGTTGTTAATTTTTCCTTATTTTTTCAAATTATCCTCGTTCTTTCAGCTTTAAATGTCATACCTATGATGAGATTTATGAATGGTTTCCTGATTGTTGTCTCTATCCTCTTGATTTGTCTGCCGATCCTCTGTGTTGATGATATGCCCCTTATTTTTGTTGCCTATCAGATGAGGATTGATTTCATTTCCCTTTGTTTCTTGTTTGATGTTTCCTTTAATTTTCATATGGTGTCTGACTTGGTTGTTTTTCTTAGGTTGATCTTCCTGAATACCCTCTGTGTTGTTGGTGTTGATCTTAGTATCTATCCCGTTCTGATTAGGGTCCTTTGTATCCCTCTTATCGACCTCCAGGTGATTATTGTTTCCTTGCATATTATTTGTCTTGGCTTTGAATCTGTTAGTATTCTGATGCTTGTGACCCTTATCGCTTTGACAACTCTTCTGTAGATCGTTGGAGAAATCCTAGTTGTGTTTGTGAAGCTATTTTGATACTCGACCTGGCTTCTTCGCGGACTAAGGACTGCTTCTATGACATGTACGACTTTATTATCATATATAACATTATTTCCCGCACTTCATATACTGTCTATAATGTGAATAAACATATCAAGTTGTACTTGTGTCATTTTACCATAGTTGTTTTTGCACCAATCCACGAAGTGTGTCTGATTTATGTTGTTGAAATTTATGTTGAGTGGGGGGAACTAAACCCAACATACTTCACCCATCAGCAGTTCATAAAGCAATGGTTCAATGGTTCTATCATTTCCTTGCATCTAGAGCATAGGTAGTCATTAGGAATGTTTATTTTACTGAGTTTAATTTTGACTGGCAACAAGTTAGAAAGTAGTCTCCGTAGGAGATATTGTTTCCTAGGTGGGACATGCTATTCCACACCTTTTTCCATACTTCCTTCTCCACCTCTTTGTTGGAGCATTCCTCCTCTTGTTTGTCCTTCCACACCATGATGTTGTGATACCCTGACTTGACCGTGTAATTCCCATCTTTGCTAGGATTCCAACTAAGATAATCCCCTCATTAAGGTTGTATAAAAGGATGTTGTTTGAGCATATTCTGTCTATGACTATAAAAGTATTGTTTAACATATTTTGGTTCCAACACCTGTTATCCCTATCAATGAGGTTCCTAACTCCTAGGGTCCTAGTTTCTAAAGTCCTTTAAGTTAGGATTTTAAACCTACATTGGATGGGTATCCAATTGTCTTCCCAAATGTTAACCTTATTTCCATTACCAATGTTCCAACAACTACCTTTCCTAATGATCCCTATGTTATGAGCTAGGCTTCTCCAAAGGTAGCTAGGGTTTCGACCGATTGTTGCATTCAAGATGTCCTTGTTAGGATGATACTTAGGTTTTAAAACCTTAGACACCAAATAATGATCATCTGAGTGGAGCCTCCATATTTGCTTGTCCAACATAGGTTCATTAAACTCTTTCAAGTTTCTAAATCCTATACCACCTTCAACTTTGTTCTTACATAGTTGGTCCCATTTTTTCCAGTGGATTTTATTCTCTCCTCTCAATATCTAGCTGTCAGGCTTTCCATCTTATTGTTGAGACTTTGGGGAAGAAGGAAATAGCTCATCACATAAGAAAGAATAACCTGAGCCACCGCTTTAATCATAGTAGCTTTGCCTGCATATGATAGAGTATTACCCTTTCAGATGTTTAGTTTGTGTTTAATCTTATCCAGCGGAAAATTAAAACTTATGAATTTAGTTTTTCCCACGAAAGGGGGAGGTCTATATAAGTGTTGATTGTGGTGATAATGAAGGTGTGAAAAGTACACAAGAATGAGGGGTCGAATTGTGTTTCATGTTTTCTTATTATTTAGCTTCTGATTAGAGTTTCAAAATTAGAACTGATGTTCAGATTCTGAGTTAATTCAGTTGGCAGTGGATACAACAGAAGTAAATAAAATAACAGCAGAAGACACAAAATATTTATACTGGTTCCTCCCCTAACTGAGAGTAATCCAATCCCATTTTCTCAAAAGAGCTTTTCATTATAACCACTTCATGATTACAATCGCTTATGCTTCTGCATAAGTCTTTTACAACTGCTCAGACCAACTGTCTGAACTTCATTTGCTTAGAGCGTATGTTTAAGACTTACCCTTTGCTCAAACCATCAGACTGAGCCGTCTGCTCATCTACCCTGTGGCTGAGACTTCCCTTTTCTTAGAGCTCATGTCTAAGACTTTCCTTTGCTTACACCATCTGACTGAGCTACCTACTCATCTGTCTTCCAGCTGAGACTTTCCTTTGCTTAGAGCTTATGTCTAACACTTTCCTTTGCTCACACCATCAAATTGAGCCGCCTGCTCATTTGTCTTCTGGATGAGACTTACCTTTTCTTAAAGCACATGTCTAATACTTTATTTTTGCTCAATCAGACTGGATGGATAAGACTTTCACAACTCAAACACTTAAGCAATGAGACTTACGTGGTTTAAGCATCTTGGCTCAAGACTTGTTTTTTGAATCCCAATGAGACAAGACTTTTTTCTTTAGCACATAGCAGGAGACTTAATCTAAACTACTAAAGGCTCAGCAGAATAGAGAACAAGGTGTACATAATGCAAGCATTAGAGGTACGGGAGATCACCATAATAAAGACTTAAAGCACTTAAGATTTCTAAATATACAAGGGTAAGAAATCTTAAGGCTTTTACAATTACAACCTACAACAGAAAATCTACATATTACATAGAGTTGATAATTGCTTGATCTTGCTACTCCTTTAACAGAAGAATCCTTGTTAAAATTTTAGACTTGAATCTTCAGCCATATATACATATAGCCTTTCTAAAAACTAGTCGTTGAGAAGATGAATTGATCAAGTGTCTTTACTTTTGCTCCATAGTACAAGAGACGTTGAAGATGGATGCACAACAGATTTCTAAATCCTTTGTGTAACACGTTTAACCTTTGAGTCTTCAAGAGGTTTTGTACTAATAGAGCCGTTGGGAGCAGATATCCATAGAATGTACCATCTTTTCTTGAGCCTTGCAATCCTGTAGACTCAAGCTGACAGGCTGATAAGACAATACATCACGCTTTCAGTAGTACGGATAGTCCACAGTTTATCACCAACTTTGCATGGTACCAGAAGCTGATATATAATTACTAAGTGTAGAAACTCGTCTGAATGTTGTGGCCTTCAGTTCAGAGTCTTCGTCAAACCATACTAGAAATTGTTCTTCAGACTCTGCCACCAGAAGCTAGCGATGAAGCAACTCCAAGTGTATCTTAAGTAATTAGATTCTGATTATTTATGTACAAGAGAAAGAACCTGCATAAATAAACCATTGTTCTTTTAATACTTTTGTTATCATCAAAACTAAAAGAGAATATATCAAGAACAAACCTTGTTCTAACAGATAGTAGGTATGTTCAGGCCTGTAGTGAAGACATCCATTTTCTCATTAGGGGTGATATTGTTGAACATCATTTAAGATTTGAGAAGGTTAATTCTTTTCCCTGAGCTCTCTTAAAACTTCCTGATCAGATATTTTAGAGTATTAGCTTCCTGCTCCTCTACTTGGCAGAAAATCAAACTGCCATCTGCAAAAAAGAGATGAGTAATTTTAGGTGCCCTTCTAGCTATGGATATACCTCTAAAAGAGTTGACATTCTTAGCATTAATAATCAAGTTCTATAATAAATCTAGATATAATATAAAGAGATATGGAGAGAAGGGGTCTTCTTGTCGAATTCCACAGGAAGGCTGAAAGTACTCTCTGGGAAAACCATTAATGAGAATGGAGAAGCTGACTGTAGTCGCACAATCCATAATCAGCTTAGTAAACCTCTTAGGAAAAACAATATTAATAAGAGTATGGTTTATGAAGTTCCAGTGTAGCTTATCATAAGCCTTTTCCATATCCAATTTAATGCCAACCATTCCCCGCTTTCTCTTAAAGATCTTGTTTAAATGGTGAAAAACTTCAAAATCCACCATAGTGTTATTTGTGATGTGTCTTTTATGAACAAAAGCATTTTGATTTTCACTAATGAGTATAGGTAGGATAAGCTTCATTCTATTAGCGATGGTTTTAGTGATGATTTTCATAATAACATTGCAAAGGCTTTGGGTCTATAGTATGTGGGTTTGGAAGGATTATTCTTTTTAGGAATGAGAATGATAAAGTTCTTGTTGAAACTTTGGGGGATATCATGGTTATTGAGGATTTTGAAAATGTTATGAGTGATCAAGTCTCCCACTAAGGTTAGTTGATTACAAGTAACATGAACCTTTCTCAAATCAACTTGATTTACTAGTCAGTGAGGTTTAGACTCAGTCCAAATGGATAATGTAATATTTTTCCCTTTGTTTTGTTTGTAGAGTTACTGACTTAAGCATTTATTGGCATGTGTTAAATTTTGAATTACAAAATTGGTGAAAATAGAGTAATTGAATGTGGAGAGAGCGATAGAGAGAGATAGAGATAGAGAGAGAGATAGAGAGAGAGAGAGAGAGAGAGAGAGAGAGAGAGAGAGAGAGAGAGAGAGAGAGAGAGAGAGAGAGAGAGGAAGCATAGTTTTTAGGGTGAGAATTTGCATTAACATTGATTGAGATACTTTGAGTACATATACAAATTACAGTTGATTGTGACACAAATAACAAAATGGAAAAACTGATATGAATAACTTATAATCGGTTACACAAAACCTGTAACCAGTTGCAACTACTTCAACAATTTAAAAACACAACAATGGTAGCCGGTTACTGCAAATGTGTAACTAGTTACATCATCAATAACAGTAAAAAATAATGCATCTTATAATCGGTTTCTTCGCAGTAACCAGTTACACCAACAATAACAGTAAAAAAACATCGCACCCTGTAACTGGTTACGTCCCCGTAGTAACTGGTTCAAGTGCTTCAAATCTCTCTATGAGTCTATTCACAATATCGACAAAAAACGACAGATCTGGTAGCGTATTCCACAAGTAACACAAGGATCGAATCAACCTACTATATTGAGTTGTATTCACATCTTGCTTGTCCCCATTCTTCCATAATTGTAGCCACAGTTTACCCGGAGTAATGGCAGCATTACCATGCTCCATTTTAAAATTCTTCAAAATCTCAAATGCATACCTTCTTTGGTGCATGAGCATTCCCTTTTTGGAATTGTGGAACTCAATACCAAGGAAGTATGTTATGAGGTTAAGGTCCTTCATCTCATACTCTTTCATAAGCTCACTCTTGAACTTAGAAATGCATTATTCACCGCTTCCCGTAATCAACAAATTGTCTATGTATAGACATATGATTATCACCCCTTCATTTGTATCCTTTTTCACACACACACCATGTTCGGATACACACTTCTTGAAGCTAATATCCTTTAAGAAACCATTTATACTTTTGTTCCAAGCTCTTGGAGCATGTTTGAAACCGTACAATGCTTTCTTCAACTTGTAAAACTTTGACTCTTGGTTTCTCCTAACAAAACCAATGAGTTGTTCTACATAAACTTCTTCTTCAAGCGGTCCGTTCAAAAACGCATATTTAACATCCATGTGGTAGATGGACCAATTGCTGTTATTCGTAATACCAACAACTAGCCCAATGGTTTCAATTCTAGCAACCAGTGCAAATACCTTTTCAAAGTCCATACATTCTCTTTACAAGAATCTATTTGCAACTAACTGAGCCTTATGGTTAATTATGTCACCCTTGGGATTTGTCTTCACTTTGGGCACCCATCTTACAACAATTGACTTCTTCCTGTCTGGTAGATCAACCAACTCCCAGGTCTTGTTCTGCACAATGGATTCTAGCTCTTCCTTCATAGCATAAATCCATTTTGGACAACTCAAGGTCTCTTCCATTTTAATGGGTTCAAATTCGGCCATTAGTGCAAAATGGATGAAATCACCATCATCATTAACTTCGTTGTCTCGAAAAAACTCACAATCTTGAATTCTTTGAGGTTTTGCCTTATTGATCTTATTACATTCTCTTCATTTCAGGCTTCGGCAGGGGTTGATTCTGCACTTTTTAGCTCTGTAGAAACTGATTTTTTACTGCTATAATTGGTTACAACTTTTTGGTAACTAGTTACAAGCTGCTGCAACTCCTTTATTTCATCAAAAATGACATCTAATATGTGATCACAATCCTTCTGTTTGCTGCATCATATGACTTGTAACCACCGATAGAGTGATACCCTATAAGTATCATCAACTATCCCTTACCATCGAACTTTTTTCTATGTTGTCCGGAACATGTCGATACGCTACGGAATCAAAAACTCTCAAATGATTCAGATTTAGTTTAAATCCAGACCATGCTTCCTCCGACGTTATCTTCTCAAACTTTTTTGTTGGACACCTATTCAACAAATAAGCAATTGTGAACACCACTTCTCCGATTAACTCTTTCGGCAAGCTCTCCCCCTTCAACATGCTTCTCACCATGTTTATGGTCGATCAATTCTTCCTTTCAGCAACATCGTTTTGATGCAGTGTATAAGGTGGTACAATATCATATATTATTCCTTCTTGATCACAAAACCTCTCAAAGTCATTTGAGACATTTTTTCCTCCGCCATCCATTTTGAGCATTTTGAACTCGTGAACGCTTTTCTCGTCAACCTTGAACTTAAACTTTGCTTATAATATGAAACATAGGGGGTACTAATTTATCATTAAAATTAACACATCTAATTATTTTCTTAAAAACCGTGCAGAACTTAAATAAAACACTTATTATAAGACGTAGGAAGTATTAAAAAACGAATGAGTATTATTCAACTATATGCGATAATCTTTTAATAATTAAATAATATGAGAAGTGTTTCTAGAAAACTTACGGTTCAATGAATCTTTGACTGCAGTTGCTAGATTCCAAACTTGTAAGGCACAAAAAACACACCTATAGGACACAAATTGCACATTATTGCACACATGTAATATAAAGTACACTATTTTTCACGGTATGATGTCACAATCTGCGTCAACGAGTCGCCAACCGAGTCGAAATTCTAACGCGTCTTCAAACTCAGCAGCTTGTTTTGTTGAAATTTCTCAGACGCCTCATTTTACTCTTCCTTCTTTTTTCTCTACCTATAAATGCCACTTTTCCCTGAATTCAAATTCAAACACATACATATTATTTTCTCACCCCCAAAATCAACTTTTCCGTCAATTTCTAGTTTTTCTCTCCAGAAAAAAGAATGAATACAGTGAATATTTTCATCTTCCCAATTCTGAGTATTTTGTTGATGGCAATTTCTCATATGGCTCATGCTCAAAATTTGGATCTTTCTCCAGCACCTGCTCCTACCAGTGATGGCACTGCAATGGATCAAAATATTGCATATTTTCTTATGCTGCTGGCGCTAGTGATTACCTATATGCTCCATTGATTTTATTTTTCTATTCTTTTTTGTCAAAGGAAATTCCAGAATATTTTTGTTGTATATGTAATTATTATTGATGAAATTTGGTATTAAAGCTAAAATTATCCTTATTTTAATTTAGCTTTTAATTTGTTGAAATTTAATATTTGAATTGTAGGAATCTAATCCAAAAAATACATGTAATAAATGTGTAAATAAAATATTGAAAAGTGGTGGATGAAGGATAGAGAAGAAAGTGGTAGGAAATGGGGAAATATGGTGAATGCTCTATAATATATTTGGTAAAACTTTTTATCAAATAGTAAAAAGAATACTATTCATGCTCCCTCCCGAACCAATTTATAAGAATCAAATAAATAAAAAAAAATCAAATTTTTATGTTTATTAAGAAAGTTTTAACTTTTATATTTTTTTATAAATATGTTTTATGGAAAGAAATAAAAACAATTTTAATTGATTGTTATTTGTGAAAAAAATAAAAGAAAAAGCATATTAAATATAAAGCAACATAATTTGAAATATCAAGCAAATTCAAAAATTTAAAATAACAAATTTTGAAAATTCAAATATCATGCAACAAATTATGAAATAGCCAACAAATTCTGTCTGACATGCAGCTAAATCTTAGGTCTGACCAGCTTCATCACCAAAGATCTGACCTACTTCATCACCAACAATCTGACATGTTTCATCACCGTCTAAATTTTGAGTCAGACCTATTTCATCACTTAATCATGGATGTTTGAGAAGGAATAAAACTCATATTTGAGTCCATATGTTAAGCTTTCGCTGATAGTGGTCATCTTTGGTGCAAGAACATAGTTCGTCTTCCTGTCTTCCAACTTATGAATCATGATATCTAACCGCTTATCTAAGAAATTTTCAGCCGATGACAACTTCTCGGTAAAATCTCCAATCGACATCTTTTCTATCATGACATTCTCTTCGCAAGCTTCTCCGTAAAATATTGAGTCGATGTTTTCTATATCATCATGTTTGCTAGCCTTTCCATGAAATATCCTTTTAATCGTTCCAACATTTTCAATCCTGTTATTTCAATCTCCAATTGACATTATTTACATTACCACATGAGCTAGCTTCTCCATAAAATCTTCATTAATTCCTTTAACATTTACATTCCTGTTATTCCCATCTCTTGTCAATCCTTCAATATTTACAGTCTTGATTACATCACCCTCGACAGTTGACCCTTCAACATTTACAACCTTTATTATATCATCATCAAAAGTCAATCCTTCGCCATTTACAATCTTGATTCTATCACCCTCAATAGTCAATCCTTCAACATGTACAGACTTGTTTCTATCACCCTCAATAATTAATCCTTTAACATTTACACTCTTGCTTCCATTTCCCTTAATAGTCAATCTTTTAACATTTTTAGTCTTGTTTCCAACACCCTCAATATTCAATCCTTCAACATTTACAGTCTTGTTTCCATCATTCCCAATAGTCAATCCTTTAACATTTACAATCTTGATTCCATCATCCTTAATAGTCAATCCTTCAACATTTATAGTCTTATTTCCATCACCCTGAATATTCAATCTTTAAACATTTACACTCTTGCTTCTATTGTCCTTAATAGTCAATCTTTTAACATTTATAGTCTTGTTTCTAACACCCTCAATAGTCAATCATTCAACATTTACATTCTTGTTTTCATCGCCCTCAATAGTCAATCCTTCAAATTTTACAAACTTGATTCCATTACCCTAAATAGTCAATCCTTCAATATTTAGAGTCATATTCCCATCACCCTCAATAGTCAATCCTTTAACATTTACAATCTTGTTTCTATCACCCTCAATATTCAATCCTTTAACATTTACAGTCTTGTTTCTATCACCCTAAATAGCCAATCCTTCAACATTTAGAGTCATGTTACCATCACCCTGAATAGTCAATCCTTCAAATTTTTGTCCTTAATATTTTCCTTAAAAAGTCCACCAAGATTCTGGAATTCATCATCTTTCTAATAATCAAAATTGATAACATGAACAACATCCTCAACTCTAATAATATTCAAGCCCTGAAATGAATCAACATTTACAATTCCAAAATTTTCAACATTTTGGATAACTACATTCTGCATCCAAACATCATCGACATTAATATTCTCATCATGAACATTCTCCAACCCATCAAAGTCAGCATCAAAGGCTCCAATTCCCTTCGTTGTGTATGGATTTGTTATATCTAGCTCCAGTCCGTGTTTTGCAACATCATCCTCAAGTAATTTGATAACATCTCACTTTGGCCCTTGCTAGAGAACATTAAGGGTTTCATCCTCCCCTAGCGTCTTCTTAAATTTGTTCCTAATTATATTATCTGATGTGCTCGGTTCAAAATGGAGCTTCGGGTACATGGTCCTCTATATATTTCTATACAAATATACATCTTTGTTCGACGAGTGTAAAATCGTAGAATTCCTTGCTCATCTACCTTTGCTAGGTGAAAGAACGGTTCGTTCTTGATTTTGAGGTGAAAGAGCGATTTGTTCTTGTGATCTGTGTGAGAAAAATGTTTGTCTCTCTCTCTCTCTCTCTCTCTCTCTCTCTCTCTCTCTATATATATATATATATATATATATATATATATATATATATATATATATATATATATATATATATATATATATATATATATATATATATATATATATATATATATATATATATATATATATATATATATATATATATATATATATATATATATATATATATATATATATATATATATATATATATATATATATATATATATATATATATATATATATATATATATATATATATATATATATAAACAGAATCTCAAAAAGATAAAATCTGAAACATTAAGCAAATTCACAAATTTAAAACAACATAATCTAAAATCTAAAATATCAACCAACAACTTCTAAAATAGCCAACAAAATATACGTGTGGGATGCAGATAAATCTTGGGTCTGACCTACTTCATCACCAATGGTCTGACATGCTTCATCACCATCGAAATTTTAAGTCTAATTTGCTTCATCCCTCGGACCTATATGTTTGAAAAGAGATAAATACTCAGAATTGAGTCCATGTGTTAAGCTTTTGCCAATGATGACCACCTTTGGTGCAAGAACATCATTCGTCTTCTTGTCTTCCAACATCATCGACATTAACATTCTCATAATGAACATTCTCCAACCCATCAAAGTCAGCATCAAAGGCTCCCAATTCCATTTGTTCTCTGTGGATTTGTTATATCATACTCTTGTGTGTGCTTTGCAATCTTGAAATTCTGGCACGCAAATATCAGATGTCAAGACAGATGTCACAACACCAGGATCAACAACAACTTGATCACACAAGAGAAAGATGCAGAAATTTAAATGACATAAGTAAAAATAAACACCAGAATTGTTAACCCAGTTCGGTGTAACTCACCTACATCTAGGGGTTACCAAGCCAAGAAGGAAATTCACTCTGATAGTATTAGTTCAAAGCTAAATTCCCCTGTTTACAACTTCTCGCCTAATTACTACCTTGTGCTACTTCTACCTAGAAATTGCCATCTAGATATGAGATCCCCCTCTCACTTCCTAATCAGTCACAATCCCAGTGACAATCAACAATTCCATATACAATAGAAGTATCACACTTCCACGACAACACTCGGTTTTGCTTAAAATCTCCTACCAAGAACAATACACTCTTGCTTAAAAGCTTTAGAGTGGACAGTGAACAATGAATAATCAGTCAACCTCAATGCATCAAAAGATACATGAGTGACATACAATTAACAAATAGAAAACCCTAAAAACCAACTAAAACAATGGCTAATCCTCACAAAATTCTCACATTATGCTCTCTTACTCCAATAGGGTTTTCTTCAATTTAAATAGCCTTCAGACCTACTGGACTTGAGCTTTTTGAGGCGCACAAATAGCAGTAATCAGTATAAACTTGATGCAAATTAGCCTGCATAATAATAGGAGATAAATACAAACTTTCCTTAAAAGGCTCAAATCATCCTTTTTATGAAATGTAACAGAATCTGCAATAACAGAAATTCCTATAATATACTTCCATAAAATTCGCCCAAGTGTGCATCATAACACACTCAAAAATTACACTAAAATTACCAAAATAGTCATGCCCTTACAATCTGGTATAACATGTCCTGGAACATGTCACAATATCATGTAGAACATGATGTCTGACTTACATGGCAGAAAATCTGGTTTAACATCTTGCTAACAACATGTTGTTTTACCAAAATGCAGCCAATCCAAAAACCACAGGACTTACAATCTCCCCATTTGGAATTTTTTGGCTAAAGTAACCTTAGCACACATCAAAGGTACACAAAGCGGAAACAAAAAAGAAACACAAAAACCCAAGAACCACAATGCTGTCAATCCAAAAAAAAAACACCTGACAACACAATGTCAAGACATTAAGTCTGACATCACAAACCAACACAAGCTCATGAGAACATGTAAGCTCTGTATAAAATGTAATCTTGCAGCAGCAAAATAGATAGGTACACCATTCTCTCTGTCACACATAATCAGTACTCCCCTTGAAGGGGAAAACAAAAAATAAACAAAACAACACATGAACTCCCATGCAAGTTCATACAATGGAACCACACTCCAAAAATACAAGCACTAGCACAAGCACACTCCCCCTGAACACCACAACCTACTACAGAGAATAATTCATTCTCCCAGACACAATAAATGGAATGATGTCATAACTAATAAAAGGACCTCCCAGCACCACCAACATAGACCTCCATGCAACACACAACATATCATATCATCACTGTTACTCCCCATTTTTAGCCACAAATTTGACAATATTGATCTTCTCTCCCTTGTATCCTACCTTATCAAGACTAATTGCTATAATTCTTCAATAATGGAAATTCCAAGTTTGCCTCTTAATTTCTCAAATTGGTTTGCATCCAAAGCTTTAGTGAAAATATCAGTCAGTTGCTTCTCA